AGAAGGAGGATAAGTTCTGAGTCCGATGTTGCTGAGGTGGGGAATTGGGAATGGAAAAAGCTCAAACGATGGTGACACTGGACCAACGCTTGACTGGTCTAAGATACACACATTATTTTTCCATTTTTCTAAGCGGATTAGGTGAAGGGATAGTCGTAATAAAATTTTGAAGTTATTTTAAGTACAGACTACAATATCCACTAATACAGGCCCACGCTTTAGATATGCCCACAGAAAGAAATCCAAGGGGGACAGATCAGGTGATCTTGTAGGTCATTCCTTTGGTTTTCCTCAGACAATCCGTCCACAGTTAAACTCCTAATCGAGGAAACTTCTCACCACCAGAGCATTGTGGGGCGGTGCAAGGTACTATCCACATGACAACATGACTTCTTAAGTTTGTATTCGGATATATAAAATTGAAATAGTGAGCGTATCTCCAGTTCATGGATGAGAGAACGGTTGATCATAAGTAAGAAGGCACGCTTCACTGAAAAGCGGTTGCGAACAGTCAGTGACCATGTGATGTTTTTTCAACTGATAGGTAATTTCGGCAAAGAAGAGTCATGAATATTCGCAGAACATATCGTGACATACGTAAATCTGGACCACCGCCCCCTCCAAAAAGCCCTACTCCCGTTCATTAATCTTTTCCTCACATAAGTGTTTCGATTTCCGCTAATATGACCACTTACTTTACACTGTTGTGCGACTCGTATTGGCTACCGTCTTTTAGCTCCCTATGTGGTCAGCTAATGAGCAAGGAGAAAACCGAAGACATTAAAATAAGAAGCAAGTGTTGTTGTTATTTTGTTGCAGGACTGGGTAAATCCAGATTTCACCTACATTCCAACAGATGAGGTAATATAAAATTACCCTCGTCCCACTCTCTCAAAAACGTTGCCTCATCCGCTGTCTCCTGCGGAGAGTAAGGCTCATCTGTACCGAAGAAAAGACTACGTTCACTCCCTGGGCAGCTACACTTCACCTACAGAACGAATAGTGTCTAAAGTGATAGTACTTATACATAGGGCTCGATTGGACTTTGTTAATTCGAACCACCACCTCTGGCTCCACCGTGACATTTTGTTGTCCGTGAAGGGGTGACTGTACGCGACAGTTATCTGGCCGGTTTCTCTGTATGTTGCAGAGATTTGTCTGTTACAAGATCTGGGTTAAGACAGAAAATCGGTTCAAACACACTGTTCTGTGCGCTGATTGCCCAACTTTTGTGTGATAAATTGGTAAGCAATGTGGAGCTTGAATGTTTAAATTTGAGCAAGCTTGGTTGCGCTCAGAGGGAAATGCTTGATCTCTGTTGATTATGGTGACTGGGGCGTGTATTATGTGCGTGAGGCAACAGGCTTCTTAAGAGTGCGATGGCTGCCAAGACAGTTAGGGAATCAACGAAGGTTAAAGGAGGTCAGAATAAGACCTGAAACGAGGGCATGAACATCCTGACTAGGGCTCTGAGTCATGTATGTTGCTTTAAAGTTCCTGGCTGGGGACCTTTTAACCAACCCAGTGTTGGTCACTCAATCTATGCCCCCATGATTGACCAAAGACATGGGGAGTATCTTCGAATAAAAAGGTCATTTAATATTGGGGTTGCTAATCCGTTCTTCATTCCCAAACTTAATCATAGGGATATCCATAGATCATATTTATTTTTAACTAAAGCATGACGCCTAAAAGTAAGTTATCAAGAAAGAACTGCTAAATAAAACCACTTTGTACATCAAAATGAGTGCATAAAAGCCGACAGAAGGTTATTTATTCAGATAGTTTTCAGTAATTGGCTTCATAACATTGCAGACTATTGAAAAACTACAAAATTACATGCATAAAAATAGGGTTTACGGGACAGAGAGGTCTATGATTCAGGTCGGCATCGAATAGACTGCACGATTAAACGATAAGTGAACTCGGTAAACACCGGCAGTTCATGTCGGGATGTAAGCATACAGTTCAGAAGGACAAAAATGTGAGTGAGACAACTATGAAACAAAACCTGGAATAATAAGCTAAAATGAACTGAAGCGAAACACACCTGCAGTGCAGCAGTAAAGACAGTACAACAAAAAACGGTTGGCAATAATGGACAAACTTCGACGTGTGCAAGAAACCAAATTGTGAGCAAACGCGATCGACTGGGTGTCCGTAAATCCGCAGAAGTAGAAACCGGTCGGAGTTCATCACGGAAAGTCCTGTCCCGTGGCATGACGCAAAGCATACAGATCAGATCAGAAAATAACCAATGAACGGAAGAAGAATAGACGTGATGGGATGAAGGAACCAAATGAAGGTGAATGAATTACCCGCAATGTTGTGCGGCCGACCGTTTAACGGCCTTCATAGAATTTCGCGCTGATTGTCACGCAATGTGCATCGAGTCCCGTTCAGTCATCGTAGGGATTCGAAACAATCTATGAGGGAGAACATCATCGTCAATAGCATGAACCCAGCTTTAATACCGCGTCAACCTCGAATGACGAGTAAAACTACTTACACCCTATTATGAAAAACCATATTCATAATCACTGTCCACCTTACATATTCTTACTAACTTTGTATGCATTGCGAGTGTGGCTGCGACCAGTAAAGGTCGGTTCACTATATTTTGCTTTGCGATGATGATGACTGGCATTATATTAGCTAAAGGCTTGTTGCATCTACTCTCAAGAATTATTTTCCTCCGAGAGTCAGGCGAACGAGAACGAGATAGAATGTAATATGCAGGACTCAGTCCACCACTGTCAACAATTTGTAGTACACTGCAGAAGGCCGATAATGGGCTATTAGACCCAAGATTTTGGTACAAGTGCTATCATCACGGCCCTCCTCACACGAGGAGTGTTGGACCAATCTCAGTATTTCCGTGTAATCACACAACTTTTCAACACATATGTGGGAGATAACCCAGAGAGTAGGCTCTCCTCAGGGAAAGATGAGGGGAATTTCGATACAACTTGCAAGTGGCCATAAAGTGAAAAATCTATTGAAAGGTTCAAACACTCACATTGAGCCCCAGTTGGTCGTGACGTACTCCACGTGGCTAGTAATATAGGGAACGGTGCTTATTCTTATCTTAACCGAG